GGGATTAGGGAAATGGACTTCGTTGTCAGAAAGACCTGAGTTCAAGTTCAGGCTCTGCCTGAAGTTATTAGCATCACTGGAGCCTTGGTTGTTTTATCTGAAAAAAGAAGATCTGTTCAGCAGCTCTGATCTCATACAGTTTTTTAAAAACTGTTTCATTGAGATATAATTCGCACACCATACAATTCACCCATGTAAAGTGTACAGTTCACTGGGTTTTAGCCTCATAGGGTTTTTGCAGGATTCAAGGTCATGGTGTCAGGAAGAACCTGGCACACTGGGCACACCATAAGCACACAAATTGCCATTACTTTTAATAATTTTTCGTTCATAAGTTACGTTATTTTCTTAGATTCCTAAGAAGCAGTAATACAGGGTCAAAGCCTGTGAGCCTCTCAAACATTTTGGAAATAGGTCTTATGAAGAGACAAGGTATTCTGAGGGAGGGGTTTTTGTTTGTCTGTCTGTTTGGTGTTTGGATAGAATTGGGGGAACAGGAGGAGATAGTATGAAATTGTTCAGCTATTTGATCCAAGATGTCCTCTTTCATCCCCCCTTGTGTAATCCTGAATTACACTCGCCTCCATACCCGACACAGAATAATTGGGGGAAGTCAATTCTGGTCCACTGAGTTCCCTTCTCTGCAGAACAATCTGCCTGTCCCTCTCCCTACCTTCAGCAACGGTTGCATTGATGCTACCTCCAACTGCCCATCCTAGCTCTGGCCAAGCCGGTTGCACATCATGCAGGCAGGAAGGACAGGCAGTAGGTCTTTGACAGTGTGTTGCACCCAACCTACCTACCAACAAACCATAAAAACCTATTCCACTTGGCTGTGGGAGGGCTGCCTGCTGGTTTCAGGCTGAGTTAGCGAGTGTCAGCCAAATCCAGGAGAGTGTTGCACCAGAGTGATGTGTGGGTGAAATCTCAGCCACCCCGGCAGGTGTGGGAGCAAGTTATGTGAAATGGGTGTGGATTAGGTGGTGAGGGATGAGAGGAAGGTGCAGGGAGGAGGGGTGGTGTCAGAGGTGGGTGAGGGTGGAGGCAAGGGATGGGGCCCCAGCTGGGTTGGACATAGTCGTTAGACCTGTGGTTTGGAACCATTTTTGGGTCATGGCCTCCTTTGAGAATCTGATTGACGCAAACGAAAGAATGCACACACGGAAGCTCATTCAGGAGTTCAAGGTCAAGGATCTTTGGTCTTGACTAGTTCATAGGGACTTGTCAGAAAGAAATCCTAAGCCTGCGTTACGAGTACGAAAAGGTTTGTATCATCTTATTTGAAAGAGATTTAAGAAGGTTTGCAGGATTGGGAGAATTAAATTCCAAAGTCTACTTAGTTCACAAGGATCCCTGGTGGCACAGTGGTTAAGCGATCGGCTGTTAGCCGAAAGGTTGGCAGTTCAAACCCACGCAGTGGCTTCAAGGGAGAAAGACCTGGCATTCTGCTGCCTTACAGCGAAGAAAACCCTATAGGGCAGTTCTACTCTGTCATATAGTGTTGCTATGAGTCAGAATCGACTCGACGGCACCTAACAACAACAACACTTATTTAATAAATGTTCTATTTATTTCTTCCAGTTTTTATTTTGAAATTTTTCAAATCTACCAAAAACTTGAAAGCTATGTACTCTTTATCTATAGACTTACCAATTGTTAGCATTTCTTCCCAGTTCTGTTCCTGCCCCCTGTGCGTATGCCCCTGCTCTCAGAAACCCATGTTTTTTTTTGGAGAACCATTTGAGAGTAAGTGGCAGATATTGTGATACTTCATCCCTAAACACTTGGCATGTAACACCTAAGATCAAGGGATTTGCCTGCATACGCACAAATTGTCACACTTACAAAATTTAGCATTGATACAACATTATTATGTAGCATACTCTGTCACTTGGGGTCACTGTGAGTCGAAATCGACTCAACAGCACCCAACAACAACAATACATTCTATATTCAAATTTCCCCAATAATCTCAATAGTGTCCTTTTAGCTGTCTTCTCCCTCCCTTCTCCCTCCCTCCCTCCTTCCCTTCCTTCCTTTTTTTATGCAGTATCTAATCCAGAATCCAGCACGTCATCTATCTAGTTATGTCTCTCAGTCTCCTTTAATCAAGAACGCTACTCCAGGATTTTTTTTTTTCCCCTGTGACATGGATGTTTTTGAAGAGTCCAGGCCAGTTGTTTTGCAGAATGTCCCTTAGCTTGGATTTATCTGATTGTGTCCTTGTGGTTAGATTTAGGTCAACATTTTTGGCAGGAGTACCACACGGATGATTCGTGTTCCTTCTGGTGCATCACAGCAGAGGGTCTGTTGGTCCTGTTTTTGATGATGTTAGTTTGGTCCAGAGTTAAGGTAGTGACCTCCAGGTTCTCTGTTGTAATTCCTAAGTAATCTATGGGGTAACATTGTATTCATGACAGCCGTCCACTGTGGCAGACGCTGGGCGTGCCAGTGGTGAGCATACAGACACAGACCTTGCTCTCCTGCTGTTTGTACAATAAACTAGGAAACAAAGAAAATATGCAGTTTTATGGAGGATGTGGGTATAGAGAAGACAGAGACCTATCAGCTCTAAATAAAGTAACCTTTAAGGTGAGACTTGAAGAGGAGAAAAGTGCCAGTCAAGGGAAGGTGGGGGTGAAAGGGGTGGAGATGGCCCCTGGCCAAGCTTGGAGGGTTGAAAAAGATGGGTGTGCAGTGGTCTTAGGGAGGAAAAACTGATAGGAGAAAGCCCTGGGACTGGAAATAATAATATTGAGTAATTAGCTGCTATGAGTCGGAATTGACTCAATAGCAATGGGTTTGGGTTTTTTCTTTTTTTTAAGTTTTATCCTTATTGAATGGGAGCAGGGGTGATTCAGTGGTAGAATTCTTACCTTCCATGCCAGAGACCTGGGTTCGATTCCTGGCTAATGCACCTCATGCACAGCCACCACCTGCCTGTCATTGGAGGCTTACACGTTGCTATGATGCTGGCCAGGTTTCAACAGAGCTTTCAGACTAAGATGGACTGGAAGAAAGGCCCGGTGATTCACTTCCTAAAATCAGCCAGAGAAAGCCCTATGGATCACAGTGGTCTGATTCAAAACAAATTATGGGGATGGTGCAGGACTGGGCAGCATTTTGTTCTGTTGTGCATGGGGCTGCCATAAATTGGGGGTCAACGCAAAGGCAGCCAGCAACAATGACACCCTTACTGAGCGCTTAGTATCTGCCAGACACTGACCTACATGTTTTACATGGTTTAATTTAATTCTCCCCATGGCCCTGTAAAGTAGGTGCTCTTATTGACTGTAAGCTGTCAACTCTGCAACATCGTAATTGGCCCAAGGTCACACAGCTTTTAAGTAGCAGAACTGGGATTCAAACCTGGAGAGATCTGACTCCACAGTCTATGCTCTATGCCACAGAGGAGTAAGCAGTGTCTCCCCTAGAAAACAGAATGTGAAAAGGGGTTGGAGTCAGAACAGTCTTGGCTAGATGAGAAGGTTCTGTGATAGAGGATGTGGGATGGGATAGCAAGGCAGAAAAAAGACCCAGAAGATCAAAGAGAAAGGCATGTTCAGGGGTAGGAGGCAACAGAGTAAAATAGGCCAAAGTTTGTTTGCTCCATCCTCAGTCATCCTAAACCCCGGCCTGTCCCTTCAGGAAGGATCCTCACACGTTTTTCCTACTCTCCCTCCTCCCAAACCAAAACAGGATACTTCACAGTCACAAAGTATCTCCTCACAAATTACGTATTAATTACAAAAGGAAAAACAGTAACTTTACAGTGGCCTAACCGGGCAGGCACCAGCTTAACCAAGTGAACAAAGTAAACATTCAGAGGGTGTTCAGGGAAGGTTCTGGAAGAGAACTGGGGGAAAGTGTACGAGAAAGGTCTTGTGAGGAAGGCTCTGGATAAACAGAAAATAGGTGGTCTATGGGTGACAGTGCAGGGTCCAGAGGGGGAGGGGGTCCTTTGGGGAAGATGATGGGATCTTGGGGTGGGGGAAGTTCTAGGTAGTGAGAGGGAGTCACTGGAGAGGGACTTGATGGGAACAGTTTGGGTGACAGGGGGCTAAAAACAGGGTCAAGTATAGGAGGTCTTGGAGTGGGGAAACTCTGGGTGACTAGAGGGTGACGGCTTGCGGTTAAGGGTCTCCAGGATAGTTTTAAAAGGGTCAGTACTCGACGGTGACGGCTCCAGGGCAGCAGTCTGTGGGTGGGGAAGGTCCCGGGGTGAGCGCATCAGGCCACCTGAGGACGCGGCGATTTGGACCCGGGAGCAGGGGCGGCGGGTAGCCGGGGGCGGGGCCGACGCCGCCCGCGGGTCCCCCCGCGCTGCAGGGGGCGCTGTGATCCCGGGCGGCGCCTGGCCGGGCGCCGGTCGCTCCTAGTGAGCG